AATAAAATCTATGAATGCCTGTCAATACATGGACCGAATACTGAGAGGCTTATTCTTACCCCTTTAATGACCTCAAACAGGTTCTCGCCGGTGACAGAAATACCCTTGAATACATGGCCATCCACAAAGAATGACCGTCGACTCGGAATGGTCGCATGAAACGTGTAGATCTCGTCTTTTGCGCGGGTACTCCAGCCATCCAATGAGAGGGTCATATGGATCTTTGTGGCTAGGAATTTCATCAACTGTTGCCCGACCGCAGCCAACTCGGCTTGAATATTCCGAGCAAAGAATGAAGTCCGCTCAGGAATTTTATAGTTGGGTGCCAGAGCGAGAATGAATTCGATAAAAAATGTGTTGCCGAGGAGGGAAAATGGGAGAGCACAGCAGATGATGAGCTTGAAGAGCAGGAGATCAATTTGCGCCTGCCGTTCGCGCGAGATTTTGGTGGGTGCAAAATACTCAGTGATGTTCTGACCGCCCGTCGTAGTATCCTGGGAGGCAGCAGGCTCCGCTCGGCTCGAGTTTGCTGCCGTTGTCGCATCAGCAGCCTTCCGGACTTTAGGCAAAGAACTAGTATTTCCAGTTTCGAGCGCGACCGAGAGAGATGATCCGCCTCTTTCGGCATCGACCAAGGCCCATAAGCCGGGGAAATCGGCCTGTAATTTCTACAGGATTGATTAATTACATGCTCTGGGGAAGTAACCTAATTTTACCTGGCATATAACGGCATGATTCTTGATGCGCGTAGGATCATGGCCTGCTGTCTGCCGGTCGCACCCAATGCACCAAGTAGTTTTGTCCTCGACCATCTGTCCCTTTCTACGCTTGACAAGAGCTTTGCCAGTAATGACACACTCATCCGCCAAGTAGTCCCGCTTGCGGCCATTCGCGCCCTGATTTTCCTTCTGCCGTTTCTCGATGCGCAGTGCAAAAATAGACTTTCCGGAGCGGACTGGTCCTACTTCCCCGGGTGGCGGCATCACAGAAGCTTCTAGTATGCGTTGCGCTCGTTCTGCCGCGCGCTTGGCTCCTCCATTAAGTTGTTGGAACGCGTTCCCAGCCTCAGCCGGGGCGTCTTCGGAAAACGGCGCCTAAAGGAGCCATCAGTGCATGTCAATACGTATAGTCCAATTGACACACCGGAGATCCTCCTTTCCTTTCACGATCCGGTCGTATGTGGCAGCGAGTGCCGTAATGTGGGCGGACCAGGCTTTCCGAGTAGAAGACGCTTGATCGGGGAGAAGGCTTTCCATCCCATCCTGAAGGTGATTAAGCCCAAAGTCCTCTTCAGTGATGAATCTCTGCCGTAGTCGGGGCAGAGAATCCTGCGTAGCTGGGTCCATGGGCTTGTAATACGGATGAGCGAAAAATGGGCGGAGAAAAATTGCTTGATCCGGCTTACCTCATGTTGCCGTTTATGGACCTTCAGCCAGCCCTCAGCCGACATGACAGTTTACGACGTAAAACTTCATTCTCATCTCCTGTGAAGTCAGTTACGACTTCTGTATGTCGGAGGGGAGGATTCGGAGGAGTTTATAGTTTCTCACACATTAATTACATGGGTTTCAGACCCCCCAGATGTGAGAAACGGAAATAACATGTTAATAACCGTGTGATAAAGGTCACGTTATTTAACACCGGCTTTCTTACACAGCGCTAAAAAAAAATGGCGGGCCAAGTGTTGGTAAGAAACGAGTCTAAAAATACTTTTTAGGACTCGTAATTTCGGCAATCTTTTTGTTGTTTGCCGATCGGTCCCTTCTAGTTCCCTTCTGGCTTGCAACGAACCGTGACGTACATATGTGCCTCTCAGGACTTTCTTAGGACCCAGATTCTTTCCCTCTCTTGCGTCTGGCGTCCGCTACATGTCCCAGTCCTCGGGGGATCTTGAGGAACTCCCTGCCTACCTCCAAAGGCAAATCCAGATTGCGGGATACATCTTTGTCGGCTCCACATCTGTGCGCCGTCCTCTCTCGTCCCTTCCGCCTCTTAGTTCACGCATACTAACGAGATAGGTCGTAAGGTGTTCATTTGGGATATTTTAAACAACCTCCGGAACGATTATGCATTATTCTTCAAGCAAAAATTCCACGTCGCGTGCTTGGCGTATGCGGTGTCGAGGTAAAATCCCGTCGTACAGCGTTGACCTTCGCTAATGCGAGAGCGAACAGAATCGCGTCTTTGATGTACGCCCTTGGATTCACAGTATTTGCGAGTAAGCACGGGAGTTTATGCAGTCTGAGAGTACGCTCATGCATTCCGGTCCAGCATATCCTCTCCAGGCGTGCAACACCAGCTTTGTCGTGTTTAACGTCTTTTACCCAATTGGCCTTTCTGCATCGGCCTTCCTCTTTTTCTTCCGGGTACGGGCAATATACAGCGGCGACCGCCTGGTTACCGCAATATTCGGATTTCTGTGGCTCGCGGTTCTGGGGGCGTCCATAACGATCCCCTTCGGCGGAAGCGCTATCAAACTCGGTCACCCCGCAGAGTGCGTCCTTGCGCACGGGGAAGCATACCTCGGCGCAGCCGGTATCATCCTAACGGTGCATGACACACTCGTCTTCTTCGCGATTTCGTACCGGCTCGTCTCGAATTTCGCGCAGACGCAGCAGCAAACGCGCGGAGAGCAGCTCAAGACGTTGTTCAGCGGCGCCAACCTGCCCGCCTTTTCGAAGGCGCTGTTTGTAGATGGGCAGATGTATTACATGTGCGTCGCGGCCTATATGCATTATCCCACCGCACCGCTCACATGTTGTGCGTTCGCCAGGATTACGGTCCTTATCAACATTTTCGCCACGCTGCTAGTGTATATCCCCGGCATCAGCCCCGTATACCGTGGAGTAATGGTCGTGCCAAGCACCACGCTGACGAGCATCATGGCGTGTCGCGTCTACCGCAACACGAAGCTCGGCATCACGCGCGGGACAGCCGAGCTGGCCCTGCCTACTCTTAGCTCGAATGCTGTTGGCACCATTCCGCTTAGCGTCGTGCAGTTCTCTACGCAACCCAACAGGACGACGGGGCGCTGGGGAGGCGATGGGTCGGGTTCCTCAGGCGATAAAGACGACACCCTTAATGAATCTTCAAAAGCGAACAACTCGGGCTTCTTACCAACTCTGCATCATGACACGGGTATAGTCCCTTAACTTAAAATATCCGATAACCACGGTTGTAAATTTTATATCAAACAGCATATAGTTGCTATGTCCTAGCTTAATGGTGCATGCTTCTTGACGAACGAATCATCACTGCGTCCGTCGGCACAGCCTGCCGACATGTGCTGACCTGTCGACATCAGATCAGCACAGTTGTGCCGACCTGTGCCGACGGTCGACGTCTGTGTGCGTGGGGTCGACCAAGCCTGCCGAACTCTACCCCGGGCTCCATGCCCAGCTCACCACAGCGGACGGTTGGCACCAAACTTAGTTGCCGTGCGCGTGGAGACGTATGTACAAATTTAAAATTTAAAAAAAAAAAAAAAAAAATAGATGCCGAGTCGAGCCCCTCCATAAATAGCCTGAGGCTGGCTCACGACTCCTCATCGGCCGCTCGCCGCTAGTTTCACTGTCTGTGCTCCTGCATTCATCCAGTTTCCAGATGAAATGGATACTCCTTACCATATGCTTGCAAGGTGCTCACCACTACAATAATCCAGGTGACATCAGTCAGCGGCTACCTGCCAGCGGCACCACCGGAGGGCATCAAAGTGATGGCGGCAACTCACGGCACTCAGCCAGGGCAAATTCAGTCGAGGTAATGGGTAGTTTGAGACTCAGTGCAGGCTTCTGAACAGAGGCAGACGTCGGCGGAGCATGTCGATGCCCAGGTCTGTCGACGTCTGCCGACGGGGGGTCGACAGAGGCTCTGCCGTCAACCATAACGGTCAACTCCGACGCGTCCTGTTTGCCGTTTTCTTTCTACATGTCGGGCCTGAGCGACTGGCCATGGCCAATTTACTCCAAGTCGAAGCTGAATCAACTTAAATTGGGCTCTCTACGTTCTATGGTGCGGATAGCTGAACTTGGACGCCGTCAAACCGACCAAATATCACTGGGTTGACACTGCCAGGCTCTAGCAACAACAATGAAGCTCCTGCGCGTCGATGCCGATGGACGGTTCTTTACAAGAAAAAATCTCCTCTAGCCAACCCCTAGCTGTTGCTCGCAAGTTCACTGTGATTTCTTCGCTACTTGCTTCAATCTCATGCGGATATTCGGCTCGTCAAGTCCGCCGTTGACACTGCCCAACTCGTCTCACCGATTCTAGGTGCAATTTTTTCATGCCTGTCCCCAGCCCGGCAATACCACGCTTTCGACTGTCCTATGCCCTTGTCCGCGATTCGGCTTTCGCCTCACAAGAAGGTATGGTCTGATTGAACAACCACAAGAACAGCATCGCAAAATCGCGGCCTTCGGGCTTCCATCACGATGGGAACGATTAGCTCGTTGCACAATGAGCTCCCAAGGAGGGAAACAAAAGTCCGTGCCTACGTCCGGCTGTGCGCCTCAGGATTAACACGGGTGCGACTACCTCCTTACCTCATTTCCCGATATTCAGGCTCCTGTAAATCATCTTCAACGATCCCGCTGCGTCACGTCGATTAAGCCTTGATTCTCGTCTTTCTCATTGTTTCTGTCCCGGACCCGACGAAACTGAGACTCATTCGCCTCTAACACATTCAGCGGTGGTAAGAAAATTGTGGACCCGCAGCTTTTCTGCTTGTACCTTGCATACTGATCATTCCTGTGCTTCATCAAGGCTACGATTGGGAATGAGCGCTGCCAGGTCCGATTCTTTGGTTTGACATAAGAGACGGTTGCCCTGAAAAAATCATATTTGGTTCCGCGATTCCTCCGCGCCATTCATAAGGTTTGTTTGAAAGACGCCATAAGGCGAAGGCGCGGCCCGCCTACAGAATTGGGGAAGTGAAAGGTATGTGCGCACAGTTTACGGAGGCGAACCTGGCACCTTGAAGGGAAAAAAGACTTTTATCTCGACACTGGCATGACTCGAACATGCGCCCTACAAGAGGAACAGATCTTTGAATTACTCGTTGTGTGATAATTCTAATCTGTCGCGTTAACCACTCCGCCACAGTGCCATGGGCAGCGATTCATTCTATCCTCATCAAAACATGCCGGGCTTATCAAAACCATCCAAAACTAGTAGAACCCCCCCCCGAAGACAAGAGAACGTGCGCTCGAAAACAGCTAGGGTATCAAATTTTGAAGCTTTGAAGCTTGAAGCCTTGCTTGAAGCTGGTTGGAAAGTTGAAATTCGAACACGAAAAGCAACTGTTTGTCTTTGTTGACATCAATTCGATATTTTCTGGCGTTCCTCAATGTTATGCGGGCCAGCCTGCGGCCCTTTGCGGTACGCTACTCACCGGCCGTACGCGTCTCTCGATCTGCCCTCTTACCCTCTGGGGCGCGTCTGGCGGGCGTGCTGAGCTCCCAGACCTCGCGGACTTTCGCATCGCTTTCCCTGACTACTCCACCCCCCTTGGATGGCAGTGCACCACTCTCTTCGGTATCTGAACCCCCCAGCGCGTCTAAGGATGCCAAGAATCCCGTGAAAGCGAAGAAGGCAAGCAAACACCCCCTCGGGTCGAAGGCAGAGGAGTTGCAGGCGAGAGCTGAGAAGAAGGAGAAAAGAAAGAGGAGGAAGGAAAAGAGGGCATTGAAGAAGAAGCAAGCCCTCGAGATGCAAGACCCCACGGCCTCCCATCCTCCCCCTTTGACCAAACCAACAACCAAAACTAAGAACGCGAAAAACAAGAACATGCTGGAGACACTAAAGAACCTGCTGGGGACTGTAGAAAACAAGTCATTGGAGGGCGAAGAAGGGTGGGACGACACACCGACACTCGGAAGGCCCCCACCGAGGCTGCGGTTCGCAAAGGCACCACTGAGGCCAGCGTCCGCCTCATGGAGGTCTCCGTTCACCCCAGTGAGGCCAGCGCACACCCCTCCCGCTCCAGAGACACACAAACAGTTCCGCCCCGATTCCCCCCTAGCCACGTCCGTCGCGCTCCTGTCGCTGCCGCCGTCCACTACGCTTTCCGACCTCAGCCGCATTGCGATGCGGGGGGGCGCAAAGCCGACTGAGGTCGTGGGGGTGCAGCTGTGGGTGACAGGCGTCAGCACCAAGGCCGGCGACGGGGGCGAAAGCAAGCTGATCCGCCCCACGAATTCTACTGCGGCTGGATGGAATCTTGGCGGGGTGCGTATTTTTGTATCTTGTGTCTCCCACCCATTCGACCGCGCTCACACCTCCCTTAGACGATACACTTCAGCAACCACGCCGCCGCGTTCGCCTTCTCCGCGATGCCGCTCCTTGTCGAGGCGCGCGCCCCGGACCCCACAACCGACGACGGTGAGGGGCGGACCGAGGTGCACCTCTTCCCGCCCACGGAGGACAAGGAGTTGTGGCCGCCCGCGCGCGTCGCCAAACTCGCGAAGGCTCTTCTGCGACGGGACCCCGAGGCAACCCGGCGGCTGCTCAGGGCGGACGACTATGCGGACGACTATGAGGACGCGCAAGCGGAGACTGCGGCAGAGACTGTGGCGGACCCGGCGAAGGAGCACGAGCACGAACTGGCCCTAAAAGCCAGGTGGGACGCGCTGGAGAGTGGCGTGGCGCCGCCAAAGGGGACTTTGCCCGCTGCGGAGCAGGCGGTGCGCGCGGAAGAGCTCGAGTCACACGTCCCCAGCGCAGACACGGAACACGCAGCTTTGGAGGCAGTTTCCATATCTGAGCCAGAGGAGGGTGCCACACCACCACCTGAGACGTAGGTATTCCCAGCACATTATTGACGCTATGATGACACTTTATGGACAGCGTGATGAATGCACAGGAGGTGCACGCAGAGGCGGTTGAGGCGGATGTCCCCAGCTCCGACACGAAACACGCGGCGGTTTCCATATCTGAGCCAGAAGACGCCGAGGAGGGTGCCGTATCAGCTGAGACGTACGCCTTCCTGGCACATCATTGACGCTACGATGACACTTTATCGACAGCGCGATGAATGCACAGGAGGTGCATGCAGAGGTGATGGAGGCGGATGTCCACAACGCAGACGTAGCCAGCGCGGATTTGGGAGCGGTTCCCGAGGAAGCCCAGGATGCAGCACCGCCTAAGACGTACGCATTCCTCCGTATCATTGCAGCTGCGCTGACTCGCTATCTTCTTCCCGCAGCGCGGTGGACCTGAATACTCTGGAGGTTGAAGCAGTAGAGGAATCGCAGGTCCCCGACCTAAGTTTGGAAGCGGTTTCCGTATCTGAGCCGCAAGACGTTGCACCAGCCGAGACGTATGCATTTTCTTGTCGACAACTGTGGCCCTGCTGATTCCATGTGTCTCCGCAGCGATGCGGATGGTCTGCAGGAAGTGCAGGCAGCAGAGGCCGAGCCCGAACTCCCCCGCGAAGACGCAGAGGACGCGATTTTGGAAGCGGTCCCCGCCTCCGAGACAGACGCTGCACCCGCTGAGACGTACGCATTTCCTCGTCGACAACCGGCGCTGTGCTGACTCCATTTGTCTCCCCAGCGATGCGAATCGTCTGCAGGAAGTGCAGGCAGCGGAAACCGAGCCCCAAGCCCCAAGCCAAGACGCAGAGGACGCGGTGTTGGAAGCGATTCCCGCCTCCGAGACAGAAGCTGCACCCGCTGAGACGTACACATTTCCTCGTGGGCAATGTTGCTGTGCTGACTCCATGTATCTCCGCAGCGATGTGGATGGTCTGCAGGAAGTGCAGGCAGCGGAGGCCGAACCCCAAGTCCCCCGCGAAGATGCAGAGGACCCAGTTTTGGAAGCGGTTCTCGCCTCCGAGACAGACGCTGCACCTGCTGAGACGTACGCATTTCCTCGTTGACAATGTCGCTGCGCTGACTTCACGTGTCTCCCAAGCGTTGAGGATGGTCTGCAGGACGTGGAAGCGGCAGAGGCTGAGCCCGAACTCCCCCGCGAAGACGCAGAGAACGCGGTTTTGGAAGCGGTTCCTGCCTCCGAGACGTATGCATTTCCTCGTCGACAATGTCGCTGTGCTGACGCCATGTAGCGATGAGGATGGTCTGCAGGACGTGCGCACGGCGGAGGCCGAGCCTGAAGTCCCCCGCGAAGTCCTCCGCGAAGACGCCGAGGACGCGATTTTGGAAGCGGTTCCCGCCTCCGAGTCAGACGACGCCCTGGAGGTTGCCGCCCCCACTGCCGCGTACGTATTTCCTCGTCGATAGCTCTAACCACCTTAATATCTTCGTCCTTGCAGCACGACGGATGTGGATTTGGACGGAGTTCCCGAATCCGAGCCTCAAGACGCAGTACCAGCTGAGACGTATACACTTTCTTCTCAGGAATCGCTGACACTATATTGATGTACCACCCACCGCACAGCACGATGGACGGTGACAGTCAGCTGGAAATGCAGGCGGCGGCTGAATCGGAGGCCCCCAGCGCGGACGTGGAATTGGGAGCTGTTCCCGAATCCGAATCCGAGGGCGCCCGACAGGATGCGGCACCGCCTGAGACGTACGACGTTCCTCGCGGATCATAAACGCTATGTTGACTCTCGTCCTCCTCACAGCACGATGGATGTACAGGAGTTGACTGCGACGGACTCGCGGGTCCCCAGTGCAGACGCAGCCGACCCGGATTTAGACGCGTTTCCTGCTCGGCTGGCTGCTCGAAAAGCTGAGAGGTACGGATTCATCGCGCCTCGTTGAAGTTGTGCTGACGCTTTATGCACATCGTCAATAGTTGGAACCCTATTGTCGACCCCGGTCTCGAATCCGACTCCGAGACGTACGTCCATCCGCGCGGCCTGTGCTATACGCTGACGCCTTGCAGGGACACCAACGCCGGCGCTGCGGCGCTCTCGGCCCCGTTGCGCATCGTCGCGGTGCCGCTGAAGTGGACGCAGCACCCGTTCTACACGCCCGCGAGCCTCGCGCGCCTCACCGCGCACGGGCATAGCCGCTGGCTCGGCCTGCGCGTCCCGGGGCCGGGCCTCCCCGTCCTCCCCCCGCACCCCACCCCCGCGCCCGCCGCAGCAGACGCAGACGCAGAGGAGGACGCGGCGCTGGACCACACGGCCGCGCTGTACGCGCGCGCGCTGCGCAAGGCGCTCGTCCGCGAGCGGGCCCTCGAGGCGGAGCTGCGCGCGGAAAGGGCCGCAACGGTGGAGGCGGCAAGGGCGGAGGCGGCGGCGCACGTGCGCGCGGTCTTTGGCGCATTCGGCGCGCTCGAGGGCGTGTGGGTGCGCGCGGCGCGCGTGCCCACCACTCCCGCCTTCAATCCCTTCTCCCCCTCCCCGTCCGGGGCGTCTGACGCCGAGGGGGAGGCGAGGCCCCCGTGGCGGCACGAGCTGCACGCGCTGGTGGGCTTCGCGGATACGCAGGCGGCGGCGCGCGCGCGGACGCTCGTGCCAGAGCAGGTGCCCGCGTACGCCGACGTGAACGTGCGCTTCGTGCTGGAGCCGTGGCGCGAGGCGCTCTTCCCTGCCTCCTCCGCCCCCTCGGCCTTCTCCTCCCGCTCGCGTTCGCATCCGGGCGCCGAGGAAGATGAGGGCGGCGCGCGCGAGGGGTGGGCGCGCCGGCTGGAGCGGGTGTACGCCGCGGAGGCGCGGGCAAGGGAGCGCGAGCTCGAGCGCGAACGGCAGCGCGGCGCGGCGGCGGGGACGTGGGGGAAGGAGCGCCTGAGCGAGGTAAGGGAACGGCTGAAGCTCGCGCAGCGCAGGGCGGAGATGGAGACGGAGCGGGTGGCAAGGTTGCAGGTCGCGAGCGCGCGGTTGGCGACGCTGGGGGCGGAGAAGGCGGAGAAGAAGAAGAAGGCCCCGACGGGCGCTGAGGTGGCGGCGCAAGCAGAGGCGGCCGCTGTGTCGGCGGCGGCGGAGGACGCGTCGGACTCGGAGAGCGCCGCGCTGGGGACGCATGTCCCCGAGGCGGAGGCGGGGCACACGCCCGAGGCGGACATCGCCGCGGTGCCCGATGCAGAGGCCACTGCAGAGGTGCCCGAGACGCAGCCCGAGCTCCCGTACGTCGCGCGCTTTTAGGGCTTCACCTCGCCTTGCGCCCTCCGCTTTTCGCGTTTCGCATACACCGGGCCGGGCACGACGCGCGCCGCGATGGGACGGGGGGAGCGCGCAGATGCAGGAGAGGAGTTCGTCAGTGGGGAGTCTACCAATGGGTGCGGCTTGGGGTATCGCGCGCAGACAAGGGCGCGAGGACGACAGCTCAAAAGTATCTATCCACCACGAATGTATCTATCAGTATTGGATGTAATAGATCTCACGAGGACATAACGAACAAATCCCAGCTCATGCTCATGTGGTGCACGCTCATTTATTCTAAATGTTCTTCAAGACCACACATTCACGAGCTGACTGAAGAGCTGAACGAGAGCGCAAGTGCGAGTGGAGTGGAGACGACAACGCATAGCGTATGCATTTGCGAGGGACAAGACAAACTAAACAGTCAACTAGACTACCGATCGACGTATGTATGAGGGGGACTAGATGGGTACCGGTAGATTAGGATACGGGATGGGCGGGGGTAGGCGGGTGCGTGGGGTAAAAAGGGGGCGGGCGGGTGAACAGGCTGGGCTGAGGCGTGGTGGGTCCAAAGGTGGGCGGGCGGGCTCAGGAGGGTAAGAAGGCCGGTGGGGAGGTCGAAGAATAGATACTGTAGGTACAACAACAACAAGTAGTCCCAGCGTTAAGTAAGAAGGGGCGGGAGCGGGGGCGGGGGCGGAGCGGGATAAAGGTGGCAAGCGGGGTAAAGGTACATACAAGGGGCACAGCTGGCATGGGCGGGCGGCGCGGAGGGGAGGGAGAAGGAAGCAGGAGGGCATGGGTGGGTAGGTATGCAAGGAGCAAAGGAGCAGGGAGCAGGTAGAGAGGTGCATGGTGTGCGGGACAGGAGAGGGAGGCGGAACGAGGTCTCAGGGCCACTGGTGTGCGGGCGGGTAGGACGCCGCGCGGAAGACGGGCTGCGGAGGCGGGTGTATCGCGGGGACGGGCGTCTGGTCGAGCACGAAATTCATCAGTACCCAAAATCAAAATCAAAAAACCAAAAAAGAAGGGAAGAGAGAGAGAGAGAAGGGAAGGCACACGCACCATGTCGACGTCCGCCTCCCCGGCGTCCTTGTCCCACTCGCAGAACGGCGGCGAGAACGCGGGCGGGATGACGAGTGCGGGCACGAAGGCGGGCTGCGGGCGCGCGGTGCCCGTCGCGATAAGCGATTGGAGGTACGTTTCTAGCCGGAGTTCCTGGTTAAATGTGTATCAATGTCAGTGTCAGTAAGAGCGGGAGAAGGAAGGCAAGGAAAGGCTAATATAGCGCAATATCGGCGTACCTCGAAGGACGTGCTCTCCAGCCCCGGGATCGCGGTGATGCTCTGGAACACCTCGCCCTCGGGTGTGCTCCGCCCTGTCCCCACCCCCGCCGTCGTCGCCGTCGCCTTACCCTGGACCTCGATGTCCATCACGCGGACAGCCTGCGGCGACGACACCGCCCGTGCCACACGGCGCGCGCCCGCGATCTTGCGCGGGGGCGGGGGCGGCGGCGGGAGGGCGCGCTGGATGCGCTGGAGCGTCGAGACGTACCCGTCGTCGCTCCCGCTCTCGCTCCCCGAGTCGCAGTCGAACGCGAGGTGCTCGAGGTCGAGCGTGCGCAGGTCGACGACCGCCGGCGCGCGCGGGGCCTTGGGGTCCTGCGCCTGCATGTCCATCTCCATCTCAAAGTCGCTGGGGATGCCCATGGCCATGAGAGAATGGGGGTGGGGGCGGGGGTCGGGGGCGTCGCGGGGGGTGTAGTAGTGGTCGAGCATGGGGGTGGTGGGGCGTGTGTGCTGGGGGCATGTGCATGCCGCGGACGGACGGGGCGGGGGATGCTCTTCAGAGAATCGCCATTGGCGGGTGTTGCTGTGGTGGTGGTCAGGAGAAGACAGCAGTTTATTGACTCCCGACTCGCCACAGCATTTACGGTCACGCGACCACCCGCCGGTCTAGACCGTCCCGGGCCCAGACGCGTTTCACCGTGGCGCGGTAACAGATTGCATTTGCTGGAATCAGGCTTGCCACGTTTGTGCCACGTCCCTCTAAACCTCCAAGGGTTGAGAATGTTGGGAACAATCCGGACGCTGTGCAAAAAGAACAGAAACTTAGACGAATGGCTCGGGCCCGAATCGAACAGGCAGCTTCTGCTGGAGCAATACTCCCAGTTTATAATATGCAGATGTGGACCACTCCACCACCGAGCCTTCTCTACCCGGCTGCTAACTCGAAATAAATGGGCAAGTTCTTGAGTTCGGCGAGGAGGGTTGACTAAAATTCTTCGACTCTCAATTTCACCGTGGACTTGTTACACAGACCGGACGACAGGGAAGCACGAAAGGCTCAAGGCTCTCCTTAACTGAGCGTAACACCTCAGGGGAGAAGCGGGGGCGGGGCACAAATAGAAAGATGAAAAAGGTAATCAACAATATGAATGGCTCGGGCCCGCATCGAACGGGCTACTTCTGCGGAAACTTTCATGCCCCAAACATATAGGATGCAGATGTGGACCACTCCACCACCGAGCCTTCCCTGCCCTATTCTTCCCGGAAATAAATTGGCAAGTTCTTCTGAGGTGAGGAGAAGTTGAGCTAAAATGTCTTGGCTCTCAATTTCATCGTGGACTTTTGGGAGTTGATACGACACCGACCGGAGGACAAAGAAGCACGAAAGGCTTTAGGCTCTCCTATCAGCAGTCCTAATTTTCAGACGAGCGTAACGCCTCCCAGAAGAGGTGGGGCGGGGCACAGATGGAAAGATAAAAAAGGCCATCGGACAATATAAATGGCTCGGGCCCGAATCGAACGGGCTACTTCTGCCGAAATCTGGTTCCCAAATGCCCACAATTTACAGATATGGACCATTCCAACACCGAGCCTTTCTTACCCTCCTCTGCTCCTCAATAGGTGGGCAAGTTCTGGGGAGGTAGGAGAGAAATGCCAGAAGGAATGCAGCGAAAGTTCGAACCAAATTCTCGGGAGCTGGTGTTCAACTTCGGCTAAGTATTTCAACTCCAAGACTTCCATTAGGTTCTCCAAGGTGGACGTAAATGGATGGGTAATATCCGTCGGACAGGGCTGTGAAAAATAAAATGGTCCGGGCAAATGAATGGCTCGGGCTCGATTTGAACGAGCGACTTCTGCTGAACGTAGGCGATGACTTTCCGTCCATGTAGTGGAAACGCGAACCATCCGCCGCCGAGCCATCCCTGCCCTATTTTTACTCGAAACAAATGGGCTTGTTCTTCTGACTCGCAGGTGAGGGGAATTCAACCAAAATTCTTCGGCTCTCAATTTCATCGTGGACTTGTTACAGACCGGAGGATAGTGAACCACGAAAGGCTTCGAGCTCTCCTGATTTTCAGACGAGCGTGACACCTCAGGGGAGAAGCGGGGCGGGGCACAGATGGAAAGATAAAAAAGGCCATCGGACAATATAAATGGCTCGGGCCCGAATCGAACGGGCTACTTCTGCTGAAACTCTCTTTGTCGCCCATGGTGTGTATAACATGCAAATGTGGACCATTCCATGATCAAGCCTTTCTTACCCCTCCCCTAATCCTTAATAGGAGGGCACATTGCTGCACAGTCCATGACAAAGGGTAATTGAACCAAATTTGCGGGAGCCTAACCTAACATGTATGTACTTCTCGGAGACAGGTCCCTCTCATCTTGCTCTCCCAATCTGCTAGCTCTGTCGTGAAATTGCAAGCTGTCCAGTGCAGCTTTCAAAAAAGTACTATCCACTTTATGGCTCGGGCCCGATTCGAACGGGCTACTTCTGCGGGAACTTTCCTCTTTGACCCAACAATATGCAGATATGGACCATTCCACCACCGAGCCCCCTACCTTACTCTTACTCGAAATAAATGGGTAAGTTCTTGAGTTCGGCAAGCAGGGAATGAAAACCAAAATTCTTTGACTCTCATTTTAATCATGGACTGGTTGTGTACACGAATCCGGCGACAGGGCAGCACGAAATAGACAAAGTCCCACTGCAGGATCTCCTGATTAAATTCAGACAAGCGTAACTCCTCCCAGCAGAGGTGGGGGCAGGGCACAAATAGAAAGATAAAAAAGGCCATCGACAATATGAATGGCTCGGGCCCGAATCGAACGGGCTACTTATACTGAAACTGTTTTCGTTGACCACAATGTACAACATGCAGATGTGGACCATCCACCACCGAGCCTTCCCTACCCTATTCCTCTTCGAAATCAATGGGCAAGTTCTTCTGACTCGGAGGTGAAGGGAAGTTGAACCAAAATTTTTTAGCTCTGGATTTAGTCACGGACTGGTTTTGTACACGGATCCGGCGACAGGCTAGCATTAATAGACAAAGTCCCGGTTCAGGTTCTCCTGATTTTCAGACTGCTCTCGGGAGAGGCGGGGCGGGGCACAGATGGAAAAGAAATCTAACAAATTATATGGCTCAGGCCCGAATCGAGTGGGCTACTTCTACTGAAAGACTTCTCCCAACCACAACGTGCAGATGTGGACCACTCCGCCACTGAGCCTTTCTTACTCAGTCCCGCCTTGAAATAAATGGGCTAGTTTTTGAGGTGAGAAAGAAATTGAACTAAATTTTGGTCTATCTCAGATCCAACATCGCTTCAAGGCAAAAGTTAGGCTTCTGCCAGGCTCTCTCGGCAGGCTGGGATCCTACGAGCCCCGACTTCATCGCGAGAAAAGAAAGAAAGAAGATGCACCAGTCTTATGGCTCGGCTCGATTCGAACGAGCAATCTCTGCTAAACTCCTTGGACCGCGATAACACTCCGCAGAAGCAGACCATCCGCCACCGAGTCTTTCCTCGCTCTGCCCTGACTCCTCTGCCCTGATTCCACATACATAGCAAGGTTCTGCTGAAGTATGAAGAAGTTAAATCGAAAATCAACGGTAAACCTCAGCGCCGAGACAATTCAATATTGAACAAAAAATTCGCTAGAACTCGCTTCAAGATCGACTGTAACAAGGGATCCGGTTATCAGAGATGGATGAATCTTAATCCCGCTCTCGCAATTTTGGGATTCGGCTCGATGGGCCTGAGAGTGTGAACTTACCATGGCTGAAGCAAATAGTGACCGTGGTTGAACCAACATGTTGAACCAAAATTCGTTAGAACTTGCTTCAACTGTAACAGCTGAACTTACATGCCTAGAGACTATGTTCAGCCTCGCTCTCGGAATTTGTAGACTCTTGATCAAGTTATCAAAGGGAGGTGAGTTTGGCGCGAGGTGTGAGGAAATGAACACGGTTGACACGGTTGAACATTCACCGGAACCTGATTCACGTACTCACAGTCCTCAACTTTTCCCGTAACCCCGTAGATGATTCGTATCGTCAAGAAGCATGCACCATTAAGCTAGGAAATAACAACTATATGCTGCTTGATATAATACAAGAAATTTTACAACGGTGGTCATTAGGTATTTTAAGTTAAGGAGCAATACCCGTGTCATGATGCAGAGTCGGTGAGAAGCCCGAGTTGTTCGCTTTCGAAGATTCGTTAAGTGTGTCGTCTTTGTCGCCTGAGGAACCAGACCCATCGCCTTCCCATCCCGTCGTCCTGTTGGGTTGCGTGGAGAACTGCACGACGCTAAGCGGAATAGTGCCAACAGCATTCGAGTTGAGAGTAGGCAGGGCCAGCTCGGATGTCCCGCGCGTGATGCCGAGCTTCGTGTTGCGGTAGACGCGGCAGGCCATGATGCTCGTCAGCGTGGTGCTCGGCACGACCAACACTCCATGGTATACGGGGCTGATGCTCGGGATATACACCAGGAGCGTGGCTAAAATGTTAACGAGGACCGTAATCCTGGCAAACGATCAGCATGTGAGCGGTGGTACAGTGGGGAAATGTGTACGCACATGTAATACATTTGCCCGTCTACAAACAGCGCCTTCGAAAAGGCGGGCAGGTTGGCGCCGCTGAACAACGTCTCGCAGAAACGCCAATTGGGTAAAAGACGTTAAACACGACGTAGCTGGTGTTGCACGCCTGAAGAGGATATGCTGGACCGGAATGCATGAGTGTAGTCGTAGACTGCGTAAACTCCCCTGCTTACTCGCAAACACTGTGAATCCCAGGACGTACATCAAAGACGCGATTCTGTTCGCTCTCGCATTAGCGAAGGTCAACGATATACGACGGGATTTTACCTCGACACCGCATACGCCAAGCAGGCAACGTGGAACTTTTTCTTGAAGAATAATGCATAATCGTTCCGGAGGTTGTTTAAAATATCCCAAATGAATACCTTGCGAACCATCTCGTTAGTATGCGTGAACTAAGAGGCGGAAGGGACGAGAGAGGACGGCGCACAGATGTGGAACCGACAAAGATGTATCCCGCAATCTGGATTTGCCTTTGGAGGTAGGCAGGGAGTTCCTCAAGGTCCCCCGAGGACTGGGACATGTAGCGGACGCCAGACGCAAGAGAGGGAAAGAATCTGGGTCCTGAGAAAGTCCTGAGAGGCAGTTTTACATATGTACGTCACGGTTCGTTGCAAGCCAGAAGGGACCGATCGGCAAACAACAAAAAAGATTGCCGAAATCTATGTAATGCACAGATGTCGACTAGAAGCATTGAAATGTAGTCGCGAGGCATCGCTTGTCCGGCGGGCCGCGGCCACCCCCAGATAACCCCAGATCGACATTTTTGATCGCCGTTCCGCGCTGGTAGACGGCGATCCCTGGTCTGTGTGCCATCGACATATATTTGCTCCTTGGCGAAGAATGAAGAAGTAGTTGGGCATGTCTAGAATCCCAAGGGTGGGGAGAATTGGCGCGTAGTACACCTCCGTCCATAAGCCTCCATTAGCCCATGTCGAGTCCATGTCTTGATGCAATTAAATGATCCAGTCCTAACATAAGCTGTGAAACATGTGTAGGCTGAAGCACTTGCAGGAAACCCGACCCATCGCATTATCGAGAACAGTAATTATCAGGGGTGGGTCAATCGCACTACACCTTATGGGATTTCTTGTTCCCAGCCACTCAACGTTTCACAAAAAAAAAAAAAACCTTATGGGAATGGGGCGTACCATACAGGCGAGGCCGAGGCTATTTCCGCCCAATTTAATTCCCAGCATTAGACGTGAGGAACTGGGAACTGTATCCATCCCCACATGATGCTGTAGAGAAATTGGGGCGTATATCGCCTTGGCATGGTGGCGGAGATTAGAGGCGTGGGCCGACTAAAGCTGGAGGGCAGCACCCCAAGTGACCCAAGTTACCGCAGTAAAAAGACAGTGTGTTGCGGAGGATGACAGATCACGGCATGCAATCGATCGCTCCTTGAATATAGGCTCCCTGAGGTAGAGTAGATCAGTTCCTTTCAACTTCGTGCCTCAGGATATTCCTTGATCTGACTAGGTTGCGAAGGTTCACCTACTATCGACAGCTGCCTCCGGGAGCCTACTTGAATTGTGCGCGCAGCCAGTCGTCGCCGAGGGATCGAGGCCCGCTTAAGCAGCGCAGAGTTCCAGCAGATACTTTTGAGCAAGTTTAAATGTACGAGATTGGAGGAGAACCGGTGTGTGGTTGCGGACAGCTTGAAGGTTGAAGATAACGTGACCGCAACAGATCCAAACATTTGGTGGTCCGTGCGCGCACCGCCGCGGTATAAATCTGAGCGCCCGACACTCATGCAACTCATACTTACCTTGATGGCATACGCCCCTTCACCTACCTGGGTGTGTGGGCCGTGGGAACACTCCATAGCACGGCGACCCTGTCCATACAGAGTGAGCCTGCGGTTTGTATGGGCTTAGGCTCATGCACCGTCTCAATATTTTCCAGTTCTACCACGGCCACTCGGCTGGGTAGGCCTTTTTTTTCGACCTTCCGCCCTCCTAACCCTAACCTTAACTACAACCGAATATGTACATTGCAATATATCGCTTTGGCCGGCCCTTTTTTTAATACAATTCATTTGCGAGACTTGAGGCTCTAAATCATGTACATATGTTGTAGCGAATACATTCTCTGTTTAAATTCATTTGCTGTGTATTCTTCAACGATCTCGAGCAACGGTGACCATTTCGAGGAGCAGTTTAGAAAATTCAGTAAAAACCGCAGAAGTGTGAATCAAGATGCAGTTGATCATCTCGAGAACAAGTTCTGCGACAGTTGAGTTGGAATGAACCCGTCGGCTTCCTTTTGGCTTCCTTCAACATCCCCTATTTCGATTTGAAGCAAACAGAGAGCACTCAGTAGTACTAGCTAGTGCCTTAAGACTCGAACGAGTCGTGGAAGCTACGAAGCAGGTTTAATACGAGTCATATTGGACTTTATCAAGATCAAGTGCATTCGGTATAATACATTGTGCCTTTTATTATCTCAAACATCCATTCCTGACCCCACCCTCACTTCCTCAAAACGAACCCAGCAATGACCGGATCGTCGTACCCGCCGTCTGTCACCGCATCTTCACGCTCGCTCTCATCAGTGGTATAGAAGTGGTCCCGCGTCGCGCTGTTGTACAGCCGGTACAGCGGTATGCCCCCGCACATGCGCCGGGAAAATACGTACGCCGCGACGCCCTTGTCGACGGCCGTCTTGGGCCCGCTTGCGAGCGCCGCATCACGCGCGCCCACATCTGTCGTGTAGAAGTTGTCTCGTGTCGCTCGGTTGAAGACGTGGTAGAATGGGACAGTCGACGATTGCTCCGTCTTGAAAACGCGCGCGGCGACGCCATCGAACTCGTACCCGTCATCGAGCGCACGGGATTTCACCGCGGTGCTCGTTGTGTATAGGTAGTGTTCAATGTTGTTCTGGAAGAGGCGGTAGAATTTTATGGCCTTCGACGGAGAGGGGCAGTTGCTGGGCAGCTAGTACCGAGTTAGTGAGAACAGGTGAGAGTAAATTATGAGACTCACCTTTCCATCTCGGATAGGAGCGGCGTTGGTTATGGTCGATGAGAGGAGAAAGATTGCAAGTACGAAGATGCAAGGCCTCATGGTATGTGTGGTATGGAGAACTTAAGAGATGTGTGGTGGATGTGGAGAGCTTGAATGCAACTGGTGTGATAAGGAGTGGAATGATGCAGTCCCCCGGATCTTTATACAAGTGCAAGTCTCAGACAAGAGCTCCAGGATCGCCGTCTCAGGCTGTGCCATCCGCCGAGGCCGCCTCAATCACTCGGAATGGATCGCGAATGCTCTTCATCCTCGGCTTGAAAGTGATCCCTGTGC